CTGGCTTACTCGGGTCTTGGGTTCCCCCGATCTGGGAGCGTTCTCGAACGCTCTGGAACGGGTTGATCCTCGTCCTGGCCCCGTCCGACCTCATTTCGTCCTCATGGCAAAATTAGCCTGGCGAAGGACCCAACCATATGCACTTGTGAATGCCGCAATTGTGCTGGGTGGTGGCGGACGCATGCGGGCGGTGCCACTGGGACCTTCGGTGGAGCTCCCTATGGGGCCACGAAACGCTGTACTGGGTGGGCGAGACGCGGTCAGCAAGGGCTGTGCTGCGTGGTGGCGGACGCATGCGAGCGGTGCCACTGGGACCTTCGGTGGAGCTCCCTATGGGGCCACGAAACGCTGTACTGGGTGGGTGAAACGCAGGCAGGGAGCAAGGGCTGTGCAGGGTGGTGGCGGACGCATGCGGGCGGTGCCGCTGGGACCTTTGGTGGAGCTCCCTATAGGGCTACGAAGCGCTGTTCTGGGTGGGTGAAGCGCAGGGAACAAGGGCTGTGCTGGGTGGTGGCGGACGCAAGCGGGCAGTGCCACTGAGACCTTTGGTGGAGCCCCCTATGGGGCCACGAAACGTGCGAGGGGTGTGCCAGAGTGGGGTGTGGAACCGCATGCCAGCGCAGCCACTGGGGCCTTCGGTGGAGCTCCCTATGGAGCCACGAAGCGTGTGAGGGGTGTGCCGACATGGGGGGTGGAACCGCATACGGGCGCAGCCACTGGGGCCTTCGGTGGAGCTCCCTATGGGGCCACGAAACGTGCGAGGGGTGTGCCAGAGTGGGGTGTGGAACCGCATGCCAGCGCAGCCACTGGGGCCTTCGGTGGAGCTCCCTATGGAGCCACGAAGCGTGTGAGGGGTGTGCCGAATGGGGGGTGGCAACCAGCATGCGAGCGCAGCCACTGCGGCGTTCGGTGGAGCTCCCTATGGGGCCACGAACGTGTGAGGGGTGTGCCAGAATGGGGGTGGAACCGCATGCGGGCGCAGCCACTGGGGCCTTCGGTGGAGCTCCCTATGGGGCCACGAAACGTGTGAGGGGTGTGCCGAAATGGGGGGTGGAACCGCATGCGAGCGCAGCCACTGGGGCGTTCGGTGGAGCTCCCTATGGGGCCACGAAACGTGTGAGGGGTGTGCCAGAATGGGGGGTGGAACCGCATGCGGGCGCAGCCACTGGGGCCTTCGGTGGAGCTCCCTATGGGGCCACGAAACGTGTGAGGGGTGTGCCAGAATGGGGGGTGGAACCGCATGCGGGCGCAGCCACTGGGGCCTTCGGTGGAGCTCCCTATGGGGCCACGAAACGTGTGAGGGGTGTGCCAGAATGGGGGGTGGAACCGCATGCGGGCGCAGCCACTGGGGCCTTCGGTGGAGCTCCCTATGGGGCCACGAAACGTGTGAGGGGTGTGCCAGAATGGGGGTGGAACCGCATGCGGGCGCAGCCACTGGGGCCTTCGGTGGAGCTCCCTATGGGGCCACGAAACGTGTGAGGGGTGTGCCAGAATGGGGGTGGAACCGCATGCGGGCGCAGCCACTGGGGCCTTCGGTGGAGCTCCCTATGGGGCCACGAAACGTGTGAGGGGTGTGCCAGAATGGGGGGTGGAACCGCATGCGGGCGCAGCCACTGGGGCCTTCGGTGGAGCTCCCTATGGGGCCACGAAACGTGTGAGGGGTGTGCCAGAATGGGGGGTGGAACCGCATGCGGGCGCAGCCACTGGGGCCTTCGGTGGAGCTCCCTATGGGGCCACGAAACGTGTGAGGGGTGTGCCAGAATGGGGGGTGGAACCGCATGCGGGCGCAGCCACTGGGGCCTTCGGTGGAGCTCCCTATGGGGCCACGAAACGTGTGAGGGGTGTGCCAGAATGGGGGGTGGAACCGCATGCGGGCGCAGCCACTGGGGCCTTCGGTGGAGCTCCCTATGGGGCCACGAAACGTGTGAGGGGTGTGCCAGAATGGGGGGTGGAACCGCATGCGGGCGCAGCCACTGGGGCCTTCGGTGGAGCTCCCTATGGGGCCACGAAACGTGTGAGGGGTGTGCCAGAATGGGGGGTGGAACCGCATGCGGGCGCAGCCACTGGGGCCTTCGGTGGGTCTGCCCGCATGCAGGGCCTTCGGTGGAGCTCCCTATGGGGCCACGCCACGTGCAGAAGGGGTGTGCCAGGGGTGTGAATGGGGGGTGGAACCGCATGCGGGCGCAGCCACTGGGGCCTTCGGTGGAGCTCCCTATGGGGCCACGAAACGTGTGAGGGGTGTGCCAGAATGGGGGGTGGAACCGCATGCGGGCGCAGCCACTGGGGCCTTCGGTGGAGCTCCCTATGGGGCCACGAAACGTGTGAGGGGTGTGCCAGAATGGGTGTGGGAGGGGGAGGGGGGGGGAGGAAGGGGAGGAGGAGGAAGGAGGAGGAGGAACGCGGGGCGACGTCTCTTCAAAACGAGGACCCAACACCACAGGATGGTTGGGAAAAAACCGGGAGGCATCGCGCGTCAAATCGAGACCCGATTCACGTCGGACTTTCACGTCGGACTTACGCCGGACTCACGTCGGAAGTACGTCGGAATTACGTCGAACGGACGCCGGAGCACCGCCGCGCGCACGTCGACCCGCAGCTTTCGGCGCTGACGCGTGGACCCGATAAGACAGCTGCTGCGCGCCGCGCGAGGCCTCCAGGATTCTTCCTCGCAGCCGCCCCCCCCCCCTCCGGCGCGCCCCCTAGCCGATTGGCATGCCAGCTGCACACGACCACAGCTCCTGGCGAGGCCCATGCTGGGCCCAGGACTCTTCCTCCTGGGCGCACCCTGGGGTCGGGCCTGCCCCCCTGCAGGCGGATTTCGGGCGAAAGATTAAGCGTACTCAAAATGTACCAAAAGTACCCACAAAAAATCATGGGAGAGTCGTGCCGAGACTGTTTTTTCCCCTATTTCCGAACAGTCCTCCTGTAGAGGGACAGGCCCGACTTCATCTGGAGCGTACCCCTTCGGCGCGTCCCCGACCCCCGGGGAGCATGCCGGCTGCATACGACCATCGATCCCAGAGAGACCCCTGCTGGGCCCAGGACCGGCACGCGCGCCTCCCCGGCCCGGCCAGGAGGGCGTGTGCCTCGGCTGGCCAGCATCGCTGCTGGTGCAAAGCTGGCGTGCAGCAGGAGCTCGACAACAAGAAACCTGCCACGAGGTGAGCGTTTTCTTACCTGGCGTTCAGACATTGGGCGGAAGGGGGGGGGGTAGGGGGGGTCTGGTTCTGGACCTCTGCTCAGTGCGACTGTTCGGGATTGTGCCCCCATGGGGAATTCTGTGGGGAGGCGAAGGCCCCTTGCTTACTCCACCTGCCTGAAACAGGCGCCAAAAACAACCAAAATCTTCTCCATGGGGGGGGGGGCGGGGGGGGCGAGGGCCCGCGCTGATCGGCAACACGACGAATAAGAAAACAGCGACAAGAAATTCAACCCTGAGACCCCAGGACGTCAAGTGATTCTTGGCGTGGGGGCGTCACGCTCTTCCATCGCAGCACCATCGAAGCCCAAGAAACCCAGGGCACCCTGGAGGCAAGCAGGGTGTTTCTTGGCATGGGTTTCTGCTATAGAGTTGGCATCCGCGTTCGTCGTCGTCTGCCTGCTTCTCCCCTCCTCTTCCCCTTTCCGCCCGGCAGCACAGCCTGTCTGGGACTTGAGCCGGGACCGACCGTCCTAGGCCTACCACGACAGGTTCTTAGAACCTAAACATATGCTAAGAACAAGACAATGTTCTTAGATCATCAGCCCGACGTGCTAAAACAAGACAATGTCAACCAGACATGTTCTGAGAACATGTCGTGCAGACCCAAACAGGGTATATGAACATTCTTTGGCGGCTTCATAGGCGATCTCCTCCTCCTCCTCCTCCTCCTCCTCCTCCTCCTCCTCCTCCTCCCTACTCCTCCCTCCTCCTCCCTCCTCCTCCCTCCTCCTCCTCCTCCTCCTCCTCCTCCTCCTCCTCCTCCCTCCTCCTCCTCCTCCGCATCCTCCTCCTCCTCCTCCTGCTTGAGGGGCCAGCGTGGCGGCGCGCAGGGCTCTGTTCTCCGCGCCCCCCGGCCGGGCTCCGCACTCATCGCGGACAGCTTGTACGCGACGCCGGGATGCACGCAAACGGGGCGCGAGCTGTGAGGCCCGAGAGCCTGGCGATGCGACCGTCTTGTGTCGGGGAGACGTGAGACTCGGGTACGGGGGACGCGGGTTGGCCTGACGGGGTCCATCATAGAAATGACGAGACGCAATCTGAAATTTGACGCGAGATCCCGCTGCAGACATCCCACGAGAACTGGACCGTCAAAATCCGGGACGCGCTCGTCAAAAAACGCCGGCAAACCCGAGTTTCCGGCTCACCCGAGTCTCACGTCCCCCCGACTGTGGGGGAGCAGAGCAGCGCCAAGATCGCTCCAACGCCTGGCAAGCCGCAGGCAGGAGGCTGCGCCTGCTGCTCGACCTCCTCGGGCCGTTCTCGGCCGCCGGGGCCGCCGGGAGACGCTACCACCACGGGGAGCACCGGGTCTCTCCGGGCAGGGCGTCGAGAGCTCCAGGCCCAGCGACACTGGTGGAACAAGCTGGACATCGGAGGCCTGGGGATGTGGCCTGTCGGAGGATCGCGCCGCAGCGCCCGTGCGCCAGCGACTGCGCGGGCGACGCCAGCGAATGCGACGGAGGTTGAGCAGGGACCGACCGTCCCGGCATTCATGTAGTCCTACCACGAGATGCTCTTTGAACCCAAAGATGTCCTAAGAACAAAAACAGTGTTCTTAGAACATAAGCCCGATGTGCTAAAACAAGACAATATCAACCAGAAAGGTTCTAAGACCATTTCGTGGAAACCACAAGAGGTTCTCAGAACATTGTTTGGTAGGGCTATCGGCGAGCCAGGACGCTTCGCCACTGCCTGAGGAGGGGGCCGACCTCCGCATCACGCCGGAGCGCCAGATGCCTCAGGGATGCGGCGCAGCTCTCCTCCGACCCCAGACGAGCGCAGGCCCCACTCGGGCGGCCTTCGGGAGGTCTCGGCTCTCCCTGCGGGGGAGCCGCCTGCCCCGGTGTCTTGAGCCAGCGCGTCGGGGAGAGGAGGCGTGGCTCGACCTGTGGCACCTCAGTCCCTTCCCCCATCCACGCGCTCCTCCTCGAGAGGCCTCCAGGGGAGCTCCCAGAAGCCTCGAAAGATCTGGGCCAGATGCGGGCCTCCAGAAACATGCAGAACCTTGGACCTCCTGGGACCCAGAAATCCAACGACGTGCTTTTTCACAAAATGGCATCTAAGAGGTTTGGACTTCTTCAGGGCATCGGCTTCAAACCCAAGACGTTTTTGACTGCCTCGAAGGAGTCCAGTGAGGGCTATGAAGTGAAATGATTGTTTTCACGTGCCCAGGTCTTGAGGATGTCTCGAGCGAGACGCTTGGTTTCACGCCTCCAGGTTGCCCAGGCAGAGGTCTAGCGCCAGGATTTGTTGAGGATGTCTCGAGCGAGACGCTTGGTTTCACGCGTCCTCGTCGCCCAGGCGGATGTCTAGCATGAGGATGTGTTGACGAAGTCTCGATCGAGATGCTTGTTTGCACGTGTCCAGGTTGCCCAGGCGGATGCCTATAATGTCTTGAGAGATACTCTTGTTTTCACGTGTCCAGGTCGCCCAGGCGGATGTCTAACATGAAGATGTGTTGAGGATGTCCCGAGCGAGACGGTTGCTTTCATGTGTACAGGTCGCCCAGGCGGATGTCTAGAATGAGGAGGTGTTGAAAACGTCTCGAGCGGAACGCTTGTTTTCACGTGCCCAGGTCACCCAGGCGGACGTCTAACATGAAGGTGTGTTGAGGATGTCTCGAGCGAACCACTTGTTTTCACGTGTCCAGGTCGCCCAGGCGGATGTCTAGCATGAGACTATGTTGAGGATGTGTTGAGCGAAACGCTTGTTTTCACGTGTCCAGGTCGGTCAAGCGGATGTCTAGCATGAGGATTTTGACTGGATGTCTCGAGTCAAACGCTTGTCCCCAGCACGTTCCGTAGCGTGTCCCCTTGGCACGTCCCGCGGTGCGTCCCCATGGGACGTCCCAGGCACGTCGCTTGGCGCGTCCCTTGAGTCGTTCCGCGGCGCGTCCTCCTGGCATGTCCCCCTGTCAATTAGCTCTGGGGCAGCTACTATGTGTTCAGGCAGCTCGAGCTTAAGATCCAGATCAGTTCGGTCAGGACTCGGATCGCGGCATGGAACATCGCAATTCAGCACGGCGCAGCACAGCACAGCCCTCGGCAGGGTACATCAAGATCGATACACTCAGCATTGCATTTGCGGGTACATCGATCAGGTTTCTTTGAAAACGCTGCTAGGCGTTACATTTCTATATGCCTTTCAGGGTTCGTGGGTCGATCATGTTTGGGCCAGGGGCACCTACAGCAGCCTCTGAAAGTTATCGATTACGCAGAATGCTGTTCTTCCCCGAGACGGGGGGAGAACTTGGGGGGCGAGGCGGATGGGCCCACACCTCCGCGAGATGCTGTGCAAGATCGTACAACATCGGATCGGCGACCATCACTTGCTGCTCTGCACCTCCGCCAAGGGATGCCGAAACAACCATCATTCCATATGTGTTCTCGATGGGACTCGGCTCGAATCGAAAACATCTGCCACACCTAGACAATCTGGAACATGTTGCCGGTGCTGCTGCTGCGGCCCCTGCTGTCGAGGAGCAGGCCGTGAAGGGGTGCCCCGGCCAACGCATTTTGCTGGTCTGCACATGCGACCTGGGTGAGCTCGGGAAGGCAAGGCAGGCGTAGAGTTAAGTCGGGCGTGCCCCCTTACAGGGCGATTTTGGGCGAAAATGAAAAATACTCAAACAATACCGCGTGCTCAAAAATAGTGAAAAATCGTCCCCAGGCTATTTTTCCCGGAAAGGGCGGGGGCCCAGGGTTCTCTTTTAGAGCTTTACCCCCGGAGTCGACTTGAAGGATGCCAGCGGAAGTATTTTGCGATAAATGACGAATTTGAAGGAGGCCAGCGGAATTATTTGTGAGGACGTCTCGAGCGAAACGTTTGTTTTTTCAGAATGGATTGAGGATGTCTCGAGCGAAACGCTGAATTTGCAGAGTTGGGGGATGTCTCCAGCGAAACGCTTGTTGTTCATAATTTGTTGAGGATGTCTCGAGCGCAACGCTGGTTTTGCAGAGTTGGGGTATCTAACATGGCGTTGGGCCCAACGCCGAATTATGAGGAAACGCACGGGGGGCCGAAAAGCGCTACTCGAACACATGTCCCGATACAGAAGAGTGTTGGTTTCTTGCTCTGAATAGGGGTTGCGCTTTGAAGGCCTATCCAAGGAAGACGTTGCGAGTCTGCGAGGATGTGTCAAGCGCGAGCGCGAATTCAGCGTATCCAGGTCACGCAGGGGGGTATCTAACATGGCTGTCCCGAGCTGGGACCACGTGTTTTTTCATGCTCAGGCCACCAAGGGAGATCTCGAACATGATTGTCCCGAGCTTGAACCACGTGTTTTTACGTGTCCAGGCCACCCAGGGGAATCTAACATGGTTGTCCCGAGCTGGCACGTTTTTTTTACGTGTCCAGGCTACCAACACGACGCTTGTCCCCAGCACGTTCTGTAGCGCGTCCCCTTGGCACGTCCCGCGGTGCGTCCCCGTGGCACGTCCCCTGGCACGTCGCCTGGCGCGTCCCTTGGGACGTTCCGCGGCGCGTCTTACTGGCATGTTTCCTTGTCAAGTAGCTCTGGGGCAGCTAGAATGTGGACTATGTGTTCAGGCAGCTCGAGCTTAAGATCCCGATCAGTTCGGTCAGTACTCGGATGCAAAGGAGGACCCGATCCACAACACTATAAAGCACAATCGCGGCATGGCACACCGCAGTTCAGCATGGCTCAGCACAGCACAGCCCTAGGCATTGTACATCCAAATCGATATACTCACTCAACATTGCAAGCTGGCACGTTCCTTGGCACGTTCCGTGGCGCGTCCTGTGGCGAGTACCCCTGGCACGTCGCGCCCCCTGGCACGTCCATTGGCACGTTCCGTAGCGCGTCCCCTTGGCACGTCCCGCGGTGCGTCCCCATGGCACGCCCCCTGGCACGTCGCCTGGCGCGTCCCTTGGGACGTTCCGCGGCGCGTCTTCCTAGCATGCCCCCCTGTGAATAAGCTCTTGGGCAAGTACTATGTGCTCAGGCAGCTCGAGTTTCAGATCCAGATCAGTTCGGTCAGGACTCGGATGCAAAGGAAGACTCGATCCACAACACTATAGAGCACAACCGCGGCGTGGCACATCGCAGCTCAGCACGGCGCAGCACAGCACTGCCGTCGGCACGGTACATCAAGATTGATACAATCAGCATTGCAACTTGGCACGTGTTTTGGCACGCTCCGTGGCGCGTCCCGTGGCGAGTCCCCCTGGCACGTCGCGCGGCGCGTCCCCTTGCACGTCCCCTGGCACGTCCATTGGCACGTCGCCTGGCGCGTCCCTTGGGACGTTCCGCGGCGCGTCCTCCTGGCATGTTCCCCTGTCAATCAGCTCTGGGGCAGATCATTTCGGTCAGGACTCGGATGCAAAGGAGGACTCGGTCCACAACACTATAAAGCTCAATCGCGGCATGGCACATCGCAGTTCAGCATGGCTCAGCACAGCACAGAACTCGGCACGGTACATCAAGATCGATACAATCAGCATTCCAACCTGGCACGTTCCTTGGCACGTTCCATAGCGCGTCCCGTGGCGAGTCCACCTGGCACGTCGCGCGGCGCGTGACCTGGCACGTCCCGTGGCACGTCCATTGGCACGTGCGGTAGCGCGTCCCCTTGCCACGTCCCGTGGCGCGTCCCTTGGGACGTTCCGCGGCGCGTCCTCCTGGCATGTTCCCCTGTCAATCAGCTCTGGGGCAGCTAGTAGCTGTGTGCTCAGGCAGTTGAAGCTTGAGATCCAGATCAGTTCGGTCAGGACTCGGATGCAAATCAGGACTCGATCCACAACGCTACAGAGCACAATCGTGGCGTGGCACATCGCAATTCAGCACAGCGCTGCACAGCATAGCCCTCGGCACGGTACATCAAGATCGATACACTAAGCATTGCATTTGCCCGTCGCCCAATCAGGTGTCTTGGAAACGTTGCCATGTCTTACATTTCTATACTCCTTTCCGGTTTCGTGTGTCGATCATGTTTTACTATGTTTGAATATTCCCCCTGTAGATGGACACGCCGGACTTGAGCGTGGAGTCGCTGCGCGGCTCGAGCTCTCCGTGCGGACGCAGCTAAAGAAGCAACCCCGTGTAAGAATATTCACCTCCACATCATCCACATGCAGAACCATGTCCCTACGCTAAAGTACAAAGTTTGCCAAGTGCATTCTTCTCTCCAGTCCTCCCATTTCGTCGTCACGATCCGATTCCAAATTGCACCCTTTGCACCTTGACAGATCGTCATTGTTTTATCGTTTTTGGTCAACGCGCTCCTGCGGTTAAACTCCAAACACATTGGGCAATAGTCAAAGACCATGTACGGCAGACCAAGGCACATGCCCAAAAATAGAGCCCACAAGAAATGTCGCGTGGAGGCATCATCACCCGCGATCCCGATGAACAACATCCGCCACCGTGCCACGCTGGCCTGGCACCCCCTCATCACTGGAGGTAAAGCTCGAAGACTGGCGCACTTCGGACCCTTCCAGGCCTCTGGCCCATGACTGGGTCAAGACGAGCTCACGTTGACTCAAGACAAGTCTAAGACGGCTCCGAGACGCCCCAAGAGGGCCCATATATGGCCCCACGAGGGACCAGAACAGCTGCGAGAGGTCTCGAGATGAGGCCCATAGGGGCCACACACTGGCATAGTTTTGCCGATTTGGTGCCCTCCACGCTCCTCGACGCCCACACGGCTCCAGAGGGCCCAGGCCTAGAGGCCTCCGGGAGATCCCAAGAGGGCCCCAAGAGTGCCAAGGCGGCCCCGTAGAATCCCAGAACGATATCCGTCGGTCGGAGTAAGGCGGGTAGAACCATGCAGTAGGAAGGCGTTGGCAGCAGATCGGGTGCCCGCCCGCCCCCGAAGGAGGAAGGAAAAGGTGAAGCCACTAGATCATTGAAGTAGAGAGGCGCTTACAGTAGATTAGCATCTGGGGATCCAAGCATACCTACTCTCAACGACCGATGGGCACACTTTTGGTCTGCGGGGCGAGAGCGAACCTCTTTCGGCAAAAGCTAGGCGGGCTACGCACAGCTCTAATTGGGGAGACAGGGCACAGGCGGGCTGGGCCTCAGGCGGCCAGAGGGCGGGCCCCGGTGCAGGCGGTGCCGAGGAGGCCCGATGGGCACACCAGAGGCCCGAGAGGGCCACAAGCCAAGGCCCCAAGAGGCCCCCGGGCCGTCGGGCCGAGAGGGGCGCCGGCGGCCAGGGACGGCACCGAGACGGCTCAGGGTAGCCCTCGGTCGGGCATGCGGTTCCTACAGGCGGATGTTGGAGGATACATGAAACTAGTCTTAAGTCGGGCCTGTCCCCCTACGAGGGGATTTGCGGCGAACAATTCGAAATACCCTAAAAATAATAAACAAATAAATCAAACATAGTCTGGGTACTATTTTGAGAATTTGTTTGCCTTCTTGGGGCATTTTTTGTGTATTTTTTATTCTTCGTCGAAAATCCCCCAGGCCTGACATAAAACTAGCAAATTACCCTGTGACGTACCCAACCCTTTCTATACATGTGGCGATTCTACTCGGGACCACTCAGTGCTGACTGGCATTCTGAAGGGCCCGCAGTGCGCAAGAAGAGCACCCAGCAGTGATTTCAGAAGGGCGCAGCAAGAAGAGGAGCGGCAAATATACAAAATGGAAACACAGGGGCGTTGAACGAAACGCGTATGACGTACCTCCGAGTAATCCACGTGGGACCCACCTCCTCTGGGCCTCCCAGGAGCCCACGAAAGTGGCGACAATTGCGCAGATCGCAAGCCCCCCAGGGGGCGGCGAGCTACCGGGGTGATCCGCGTGGGACCTACCTCCGCTGGGCCTCCCAGGAGCCCACGAAAGTGCCAATAGTTGCACAGATCGCAAGCCAACCTAGGGGGCGGCGAAGTCCCGAGGTGACCCGCGTGGGACCCACCTCCGCTGGGCCACCCAGGAGCCCACGAAAGTGGCGACGGTTGCGCAGATCGCAAGCCCCCAGGGGGCGGCGAGGTCCCGAAGTGATCCGCGTAGGACCCACCTCCGCTGGGCCTCCCATGAGCACACGAAAGTGGCGACAATTGCGCAGATCGCAAGCCCCCCAGGGGGCGGCAAGGTCCCGAGGTGATCCGCGTGGGACCCACCTCCGCTGGGCCTCCCAGGAGCCCACGAAAAGGGCAACAATTGCGATTCGGCGGCGAAGTCCCGAGGTGATCCGCGTGGGACCCACCTCCGCTGAGCCTCCCGGGAGCTCACGAAAGTGGCGACAGCTGCGCAGATCGCAGGCCCCCCAGGGGGCGGCGAGGTACCGAAGTGATCCTCGTGGGACCCACCTCCGCTGGGCCTCCCAGGAGCCCACGAAAGTGGCAACGGTTTGCAGATCGCAAGCCCCCCCAGGGGGCGGCGACGTCCCAGGTGATCCGCGTGGTACCCACCTCCGCTGGGCCTCCCAAGAGCCCACGAAAATGGCGACAATTGGCAGATCGCGCCCCCCAGGGGGCGGCGAGGTCCCGAGGTGATCCCGCGCTGGGCGCTGGGACCCACCTTCGCTGGGCCGCCCAGGAGCCCACGAAAGTGGCGACAATTGCGCAGATCGCAAGCCCCCCAGGGGGCGGCGAGGTCCCGAGGTGATCCGCGTGGGACCCACCTCCGCTGGGCCTCCCAGGAGCCCACGAAAGTGCCAATAGTTGCACAGATCGCAAGCCAACCTAGGGGGCGGCGAAGTCCCGAGGTGACCCGCGTGGGACCCACCTCCGCTGGGCCACCCAGGAGCCCACGAAAGTGGCGACGGTTGCGCAGATCGCAAGCCCCCAGGGGGCGGCGAGGTCCCGAAGTGATCCGCGTAGGACCCACCTCCGCTGGGCCTCCCATGAGCACACGAAAGTGGCGACAATTGCGCAGATCGCAAGCCCCCCAGGGGGCGGCAAGGTCCCGAGGTGATCCGCGTGGGACCCACCTCCGCTGGGCCTCCCAGGAGCCCACGAAAAGGGCAACAATTGCGATTCGGCGGCGAAGTCCCGAGGTGATCCGCGTGGGACCCACCTCCGCTGAGCCTCCCGGGAGCTCACGAAAGTGGCGACAGCTGCGCAGATCGCAGGCCCCCCAGGGGGCGGCGAGGTACCGAAGTGATCCTCGTGGGACCCACCTCCGCTGGGCCTCCCAGGAGCCCACGAAAGTGGCAACGGTTGTGCAGATCGCAAGCCCCCCCAGGGGGCGGCGACGTCCCGAGGTGATCCGCGTGGTACCCACCTCCGCTGGGCCTCCCAAGAGCCCACGAAAATGGCGACAATTGCGCAGATCGCAAGCCCCCCAGGGGGCGGCGAGGTCCCGAGGTGATCCGCGTGGGACCCACCTCCGCTGGGCCTCCCAGGAGCCCACGAAAGTGGCGACAATTGCGCAGATCGCACGCCCCCCCAAGGGGCGGCGAGGTCCCGAGGTGATCCGCGTGGGACCCACCTTCGCTGGGCCGCCCAGGAGCCCACGAAAGTGGCGACAATTGCGAAGATCGCAAGCCCCCCAGGGGGCGGCGAGCTACCGAGGTGATCCGCGTGGGACCTACCTCCGCTGGGCCTCCCAGGAGCCCACGAAAGTGGTGACAAATGCGCAAATTGCAAGCCCCCCCAGAGGCGGCGAGGTCCCGAGGTGATCCGCGTGGGACGTACCTCCGCTGGGCCTCCCAGGAGCCCACGAAAGTGGCGACAATTGCGCAGGTCGCAGCCCCCAGAGCACCGCGAGGTCTCGAGGTGATCCGCGTGGGACCCACCTCCGCTGGGCCGCCCAGGAGCCCACGAAAAAAGCAACGGTTGCGCAGATCGCAAGCCCCCCAGGGGGCGGCGAGGTCCCGAGGTGATCCGCGTGGGACCCACCTCCGCTGGGCCTCCCAGGAGCCCACGAAAGTGGCGACAATTGCGCAGATCGCACGCCCCCCCCAGGGGGCGGCGAGGTCCCGAGGTGATCCGCGTGGGACCCACCTCCTCTGGGCCGCCCAGGAGCCCACGAAAGTGGCGACGGTTGCGCAGATCGCAAGCCCCCCAGGGGGCGGCGAGCTACTGAGGTGATCCGCGTGGGACCCACCTCCGCTGGGCCTCCCAGGAGCCCACGAAAGTGGCGACCATTGCGCAGATCGCAAGCCCCCCAGGGGGCGGCCAGGTCCCGAGGTGATCCGCGCGGGACCCACCTCCGCTGGGCCTCCCAAGAGCCCACGAAAGTGGCGACAATTGCGCAGATCGCACGCCCCCCCATGGGGGCGGCGTGCTACCGAGGTGATCCGCGTGGGACCCACCTCCGCTGGGCCTCCCGGGAACCCACGAAAGAAAACGACAAATGCGCAAATCGCAAACCCCCCAAGGGGCGGCGAAATACCGAGGTGATCCGCGTGGGACCCGGCCTCCCAGGAGCCCACGAACGTGGCGACAACTCAAAGATCGCAAGCCCCCCCCAGGGGGCGGCGAGGTCCCGAGGTGATCCGCGTGGGACCCACCTCCGCTGGGCCTCCCAGGAGCCCACGAAAGTGGTGACAATTGCGCAGATCGCAAGCCCCCCAGGGGGCGGCGAGCTACCGAGGTGATCTGCGTGGGACCCACCTCCGCTGGGCCTCCCATGAGCACACGAAAGTGGCGACAATTGCGCAGATCGCAAGCCCCCCAGGGGGCGGCAAGGTCCCGAGGTGATCCGCGTGGGACCCACCTCCGCTGGGCCTCCCAGGAGCCCACGAAAGTGGCGACAGCTGCGCAGATCGCAAGCCCCCCACAGGGCGGGGAGGTCCCGAGGTGACCCGCGTGGGACCCAACTCCGCTGGGCCTCCCAGGAGCCCACGAAAGTGGCGACGGTTGCACAGATCGCAAGCCCCCCAGGGGGCGGCGAGCTACCGAGGTGATCCTCGTGGGACCCACCTCCGCTGGGCTTCCCAGGAGCCCACGAAAGTGGCGAAATTGCGCAGATCGCAAGCCCCACCAGGGGGCGGCGAGGGCCCGAGGTGATCCGCGTGGGACCCACCTCCTCTGGGCCGCCCAGGAGCCCACGAAAGTGGCGACGGTTGCGCAGATCGCAAGCCCCCCAGGGGGCGGCGAGCTACTGAGGTGATCCGCGTGGGACCCACCTCCGCTGGGCCTCCCAGGAGCCCACGAAAGTGGCGACAATTGCGCAGATTGCAAGCCCCCCAAGGGGCGGCGAGGTCCCGAGGTGATCCGCGTGGGACCCACCTCCGCTGGGCCTCCCAGGAGCCCATGAAAGTGGCGACGGTTGCACAGATCACAAGTCCCCAGGGGGCGGTGAGGTCCCGAGGTGATCCGCGTGGGACCCACCTCCGCTGGGCCCCCCAGGAGCCCACAAAAGTGGCGACCATTGCGCAGATCGCAAACCCCCCAGGGGGCGGCCAGGTCCCGAGGTGATCCGCGCAGGACCCACCTCCGCTGGGCCTCCCAAGAGCCC